ACTATATATAATATGTAGCTTTGAGTAGATATCTTTAATTGCACGTTTATTGTAGATGTAAATAATGTGCATCATTTGAGGACCTATCTTCAATTGAGTACCTATCTTCAATTGCTCGTGCAATCGTCGATGTACATAAATAGTGTAGTGTATTTAAACCCCGGTGCTGAAGTATACGCGTCCAGATCGTGATCGATATATATTCAATTCAAAAAAAAATCCAAACACGAATCTCGCTGCTGTTTTCACCAATTGTTTGTAGCGTAGCAGGACAGTGTGCGCGCGATCGAGTGCGTTGCAAAACATAAGCTACACCTCACACTCTGGGAATCATTGACGGTTCCTTTCAAGAAAACTAACGCCTTTCTCGTAAAGACATGAGCAGCAGTAATAGAAAACACCGACTGGGAAAGTGATGTTACGACTGAGCAAAAGACGATGACGACGTGTTCAATCGGTCTCATTCACATACAAATAACAAACATTCACCAGGGGTTCATACAAATGTTTTTGTGACGTACACAGAATACTATCATTTTTCCCTTCCCAGTTGCACGGTTTAAAGCAATGCCCAGGTATATGTTCGCCGTCCAAGAAAATAACTGATACTATCACGCCATTGTCATTTTTGGAGCAACAAACACCCACGCGGCGTTAGTACTCTGCCATCAACACCTCGCGGATATTAGACACATATCTCCGCTGACAGGTCCAGTGAGTAATAGATTGTAGTAAAACTAAGGTACACATGAGCCGTGAAAGGAAGACTATTTTTACGGCAGCACCGAGTGGTATCGTGTTACTGCCGTATTTATCAATGCCTAGTACTTGTGCATATGTTCCCATCTATACAAGATATCGTAAGGGCCGAATTCTACTGGCTAAATTATCACTATAAATCCGCTGTCTAATATGGTCCAGAATGGGGAATTTTGGTTTGGCGGAAAACCAGTTTTGTTTTTATAACTGGCATGTGATTTTTTCTTTCAAAGTTTGCTTACCTTGCTTTGTGGAAGTCAGGCTAAATAAAATGTACCATTTATTTTAACAAAAACAGAACAAAAACAAGATAGCTTATTTGTAAAAGCTGTTATCCATATTCTCACAATGAGACAGCTGAGATTGTTGCCTACTGTTGGGGTAGTAGCCCTCATCTTGGTCGCATTCGCGATAGTAGTTGCCACGGATGTCATCTAGCCAAAGTTTTCACGAAGGTGAATAAAGTCAACTATCATTATATAATTGTTATAGACGATCGAAGGTGAATAAAGTTAACAATCATTATATAATTATTTTAGACGATCGAAGGTGAATAAAGTCTACTATCACTATAAAATTGTTATAGACGATATATAAGCTAAACTTTTACAAGCTATAAGATGATTAGACAAAAGTGAGCATCCGTAAAGATATGGCAGAGGAAAAATTCAATGTGAAAAAAAAAATGAAAATACTAGTTTACTACCCTACATTAAAGCAGACTTTAATAACAGTCTCTTAAATTGCAGTTAAACTAAGACACTCTTAAGACACGAAGTCTAAAGTATTTAGTCAGCAGTCCGGAGTTGGATCGAGTTACAGCCGTAACTATCTTGGCACGCTCTCGTCTCTATTCCATAGAACGAATGGCATCATACAAGGATCAATCGTTGACCCCCAGCTCTTTATTATCTACATAGATTCCTTAGCTGTCACGCTAGCACAATTTCGGCCCAAGCTCCTCCGCTCTTATTTATTTGTCGATGACACACGGATCCAAGACCCTCGATCGGTTTCGCTCCAGCCCTTCTTAGATGATATTGATGCGTGGGGACGTAAATATGGCCTTGAACAGGGTGTCATTAAACCCCGAGTACGATCTACCGACTTGCGACACGCGGCGCCAGCCCTCCATATAAATGGTGAGCTTATCACGCCGACGCTTGCAGACGCACCTTGGAACACACGTTACCTCCCCCTGAAACTGGCGCCCACACATGCCGATCCGAAACACTACAAATACCTGGGGTTCCCACTCTCTCACGGAGTACCAGGAATCAACCTCGCTAGACATATGGAATCCCTGGTTGCAGCATTGTCGCTGGGTATCGCCTCTTTCCGCGCTTATGGCTTCTATGACTTCAGCTGGAGACACCCCCACAACCGACTTGTGCTGTGCAAAACATTCATCCTATCCACGGCTACATATGGCCTGAATATTATTACCTGGGCTCCGCCTATATGGAAGGATGCGTTGGACCCCTTGTTCGAGTGCTTTAACTCAGCACTCAACCAAGCAGCAGCCATCATCACGGGCACTAAATACCCTCGGTTTCCCAAACATCAAACAAACTTACACCACTTTTGTGGCCTGCTCCCCGCGCGACCTCTGACACAACCCGCCTGAGCCCACGATAAACCAGCACTGCGCTTCCCGTACAGTATCTATGCTCACTGAAAACTGTACACAAAACCACGGGCGGGTGTACACCCGACCATGTAGCCCTCCACCAACGCTGTGACGACATCAGAAAGAATTCAACAAAACGTTGGTCCAACAAGGAGATCGCGGCAATGGCCCGGCGCCAATACTACTACCAACTGGTTATGGGTAAACCGCCAACCTCAAACCGAGACACAGCCAGACACGACAGCTTCAATCGCTGCTTCGAGCCTACACCAATCCGGCTCTGTGCTATGATTGTAACGAATACGTACATGTTCACATTGCTCGACTACCGCACCGACGGCTGTCTTTGCCCTGTCTGCCCCGGTAGCCACAAGTTCATTACCAGCCACTTTACCTGCATCCAACAACTGATTCGACGCATCCTGGTAGGCCCAAAACTGCCACCCATTGGCCCTGACCTCCTTCAGC